TACTATAACATACAGGGTCCTGCAAGAAAAAGACAAGACCCGCAAATCCGTCGCCACAGAACAGCAGAATATGAACGGAACGCATGCGCAAAGTCTCTCGTTAAGCGTTTTCCTCCTGTAGAAAAACATAAACACTTAACATGGCGTAATGTATTAAGATGCTATTAAAATATCAAATTAAATATACAATTTATTAATATAATGAATATGTATATAGTATTTTCCTCCCATACCGCAAAACGTACGTGGCATAATGTGGCATAATGGACTAAAAAGGCCAAACTCAATATGCTCCTCTACATTATTAATATACATAACTAATATGTACAGGCAAGCAGGTGAGCCCAGAATAAATGCAACACGCACAGTTTCATGTTAAGCGTTTTCCCATATATTGTTATAATTGGTAACTTACAATGCTTTTATTAAATTCACGTTTAATACAAAGTCAGTCGTAAATATTTTATGGCATGACATCCATATCAGGTACTTAAGTAAAAAGACGGGTTTAATGCATAAATAATAGATCACACTAACATTAGGCTACTTTGCCCATCGCCCATTATAGATTAACTAACATGATTTATAAAGGTGCAAAATGCATTTACTTACACATATGTGAGAATCAAGATATTTCATGATATAGTTCACACGTTTGGGAATATTTAGAATAAAAATGAAAAATAAAATAAAACATAAGCCTAAAAACATAACCCAGTTATACAGCGCTATCGTGGCTGCTGTGTGTCACATGACATGACAAGCATGACCAGGACTCCCCCCCATCCCTTCACTTGTGCCCCCTCAATAATAATAAGAGCATGACACCCCTGGGTAGGGTAATATGCCCTCAGTCTGACAAAGCAGTTTGCTTTATACATTTAAGGCAAAATCAGAGTACAGGCAGTTTTAGCTTAAAATTTAAAAGAATATAATCAATAATCACGAATTACAAAATTATAACCTATTTGAAAAATAATGTTAGCTGATGCTAACTGGCTAGATAAGTACCTGATGCTAACTTGAGGTAATTTTGAAATATAAAGTCCAAATATTTGTATTCAACCAACTAGAATACATTTGATGGAAAAACAAAGGATTTGATGTTCAGAACAGAGTAACTACAGTAATTAAGCCATTTTACCCCACAGAATATGTTTGAAAAAAATTGGCATTCTGAAAATATAATTATATTTTTCTTAAATAACGTACTCCCTATCTACAGGCCTTACTATTTTCATTCCATCAGGGGCAGTTGTGGCCTAATGGTTAGAGAGTCAGACTTATAACCCGAAGGTTGTGGGTTTGAGTCTCAGGTCTGGCAGGAATTGTAGGTGGGGGGAGTGAATAACCAGTGCTCTTTTCCACCCTCAATACCACGACTGAGGTGAGACCTTGAGCAAGGCACCGAACCCCCAACTGCTCCCCAGGCGCTGCATCAATATGGCTACCCACTGTTACGGGTGTGTGTGTGTGCACTTGGATGGGTTAAATGCAGAGCACAAATTCCGAGTCACCGTACTTGGTCACTTCACATATATACTGTGGATGCATTTTCAAATTATAATACATAATTAAGAATATTCGGAATGTTCGATATTATTTATCTTCATGAAAAAATAAATAGAAGAATATATAAAAATAAAAAATAGATAGAAAAAAATAATATAAAAATAAATAGAAGAATACTCTTATTTTAAGTAAGTAAAATTTAAAATTTATCATATAGTAAATTTTTATAATTTGATCAGTAAAATCTGATAAAAAATACAGTAAAATCAGTATTATTGTGAGCTATTGATACAATTTACAATACCAGTTCTCTATTTTAATGTCCTGTGATGGCAAAGCTGAATTTTGGCATTACCTTTCTGTTCCTTCAAAAATCATTCTAATAAGCTGATTTGCTGCTTAAGCTAAATTCTCTCTCTCTCTGTGTATTTAAAAAAAAAAAGTGAGTGAAGTGACATGTGGCGACCCATACTCAGAATTTGTGCTCTGCATTTAACCCATCCAAGTGCACGCACACACACTTTGAACACACACCCAGAGCAGTGGGCAGCAGTCCAGGAAGTAGTCAGGGGTTCAGTGCCTTGCTCAAGGCTCTCACCTCAGTCATGGTATTGAGGGTGGAAGAGAGCACTGATTATTCACCCCCCCCACCGACAAGTCCTGCCGGACCTGAGATTCGAACCCGCAACCTTCGGGTTACAAGTCCAACTCTCCAACCATTAGGCCACAACTGCCCCATTTATAAATGTTTTTAAATAGTGTATAATTAGCTCACTGCTTTTCAAAGATTAGCATGCATAGTCACTGAAGCACATCAATGCTTGCATCACAATATTAAGTACTGATAACCATCAGTTTCTCAGTACCACAAAGATGATAAAGCATTGATGATCCTGGTCATTCTCCAGCCCTTCTCAACCTAAACTCATCAGAATCCTGGGATTGAAAATGTCTCCTCCGGGCATTTATTTAACCTGAGCATACGTCACATCATTAGATCCAGCAGCTGAACATATAGAAATAAATATTAAATTCATATTTAACATTTTTTATACAGTATTTGATTTCATAAATTCTCAGCGATGCTTGTAGATGCAGTTTTCAGTGGCTCCTTGTGAACTATGATTGATGTTTTTACTTTGACACTCACCTTGATGGGTCACCAGGGTCAGTTTAGAATAAACAGTGTCAGAACTTTCACTGGTATTCCCTAAAAGACTTGTAGATTTGAGCTCAATCTCAGCATAGATGTGTTCAGCAGGTCCACTTACACTGCCTACAATGCATAATAGACAAATAAATACTTGGTTTAACTTAATTTCCTCTGCAAATATCACAGTGAAAACAAACAAACAAACAAACATGGATTTGATTTCTACTTTCTTTAGAAAACAACTGCTGATTCAGTAAAAATATTATTATGAGAAAGTCATTTAAATGACATCATTAGTTACCTGTAATTATGTCTTTGTTAATCGTTTCATCAACAGACTCATAAATATGAGCAGTTCCTGCAATAAATTAATACATTAATTTCGAGTAGTATATTTTTCAAATTATTTTATCATGCATCTTATGATTTAAATTCCACAGAAAAAATATTGTGTTCAGGTAGGTTTAAAAATATAAAGCACTGAATGTTTTGTTACGCAGTTTTTGATAATAAAATAACATCCAGCTGAAATATGTCAGTTAAACAAATATCATGTTAAACTTGAGTTTTTCAGTTGTGAGATCAGTCCTGTTAGTTAAAAGTTATTCCTGAGTGTCTTTAATCTCAGCTTGTAAAGATTTATATGAATTTATTTATGGTTAACAGGTAAAGACTGACCGGACAGCAGTGATCCAGCTGAAATATGTCAGTTAAACAAATATCATGTTAAACTTGAGTTTTTCAGTTGTGAGATCAGTCCTGTTAGTTAAAAGTTATTCCTGAGTGTCTTTAATCTCAGCTTGTAAAGATGTATATGTATTTATTTATGGTTAACAGGTAAAGACTGACCAGACAGCAGTGTGTTGTTTCCCGCGTCACTCTGGTTCTGCTCTGATGTCTGACTGCTGTTCTGCTGTTGACTGACACTAGAGTGAGACTGAGATCTTACACCTAAGATAACATAAAATTATTATGTAAATGTTTTAAAACTGACTTTTAATCTCCTTCTTGCATACATGTGTGAGAATGATAGTGTTTAGTGACGTTTTTATTTATCACATGATGGATTTGTTCAAAAACATAGTAAGCTGCTTTACTGTCTGCTGTCTTCATAGGCTGCATACTATTGTAACTCAAATGGAACAAAATAAGTGACTAATTTGGAGCACTTTATACAGTGGGTACGGAAAGTATTCAGACCCCCTTAAATTTTTCACTCTTTGTTATATTGCAGCCATTTGCTAAAATCATTATTAATGAGGAAAAAAAATTAACTTAAATGATTTTAGCAAATGGCTGCAATATAACAAAGAGTGAAAAATTTAAGGGAGTCTGAATACTTTCCGTACCCACTGTATATGCAGTAACTATGTGTATCATACAAATATGATGGACAAAAATACTTTTTAGCCTAAGCTCCCAGCCTGTCCAGAAGAAAACTGCGCAGAAAGCTTTTAAAACTAGCTAACATACCAGCTTTACCAGGTTGGGAGACCAGATAACCAGCTTAGACTGATGTAGGACGGCAACTCACAAGATTTAGGGACAGAGTTGGTGTCTACAAAAATGTCATTGAATTTTAATATGGCAGAAGATGGACCTTTGTTGTTTCTGTAGCGCCACAGAAGGACCAAGACGACAATGATCAAAAATGTGACGGTCAGTCCTGCAGTCACTCCAACTATCATGAGATTGAACTCTTCAGATCTTGAGGCAGAGGAAGCTGAGATAAATACATTTTACATTCAGATTAGTGCTGTAAATGATACAGGCACATTTCAATAGTTTTTATATTTCTTAGTCTCACCTCTGACTGAGATCCAGCTCTTGGGTGACTCTCCTCTCTCTGGGTGTTTGCAGTAGTAGAAACCCTCATGTGACTTTGAGACAGTAGAGATGATCATCTCTGTAGTTTGATTCTGGATGAGTGATCCATCTTTATAGAAATCAGCTCTGAGGTTTAATGAGGTTGTATTTTGATCTAAACAGCGTAGAGTCAGAGTATCTCCTTCAGTCACAGGATGAACAGGACTCTCCAGAATCACACCAACTACAGAACAGAGGAAACATGAGCCATAGAAATCAGCTCTGAGGTTTGGTGGGGTTGAATGTTGATATAAACAGCGTAGAGTCAGAGTATCTCCTTCAGTCACAGGATGAACAGGACTCTCTAGAATCACACCAGCTACAGAACAGAGGAAACATGAACTGAGTGTAAATATTATATTAACAATATGGTAACATAAAAATAATAATAATTAAAAAAAAGTATGTTTTCTGACAAAACTAGATTTTTAGTGCCACTTGCCCATTGAGTGTTTTTTTGCCCACTGATGCATCCTGCACTTGTTTAATCAACCTGCTTTATCTATTGATTGTAAACTGCCAGTCAGACAAATGAACACAGACTCACGGTGTACAGTGATATTAACAGGATGATAGTTCTCTCCAGATTCAGACTGACACCAGTACACTCCTGTGTCTGATGTGATGGTGGAGCTGATTGTACATGTAGATCCTGTTTGTGAAGCCCACACTGATGATGAACAATCTTCCAGCCCCAAACTCTCTGTGTATCTTTTCACTCTCCATCTATCAGAGTTACTCTGGTCCTCACAGCTCAGAGAGAGAGAGACAGATGTGAAGTGTTGAGTTCTGCTAGGACTGATGATCAGAGAGACTCGAGGAGAAACACCTGAGAAGACAATTAGAGCTACAATTTGAGAAATGTTAAATAATACATTTATATTAAAGTGGTCAGAGCACATATCATTTTTATTAGGCATATTTAATTATTTTCCCTTAGATCCTTAGTAATTTTTGTTCCACAAATACTAATATTCATTTATTCATAAACATTTTCCACTCTCTCTCTGACTCAGGAGTCAGAAACAAAGGAGTTGAAGTTTGGCTGGTACCTCATCAGTCCCTGCTGGTAGATATCATAACTACACTTTCTGGCAGCAAAAAGCTTTTTTTCTGTATCGACAGCCATTCAAAAGTAGCAGTGAATTATGACAGAATCATTTTTAACATATTTGTAAATAACAATATATCATAGCTTTCTTGTACCTCATTGCTTATTACAAAACTGAAGTTTCGACTCTAAATTCTGATTGGATGAGTCACATTTTAAGTGCAAATAAACACCCATAACCACACATTCTGCTGTTTATTCATGTGGCAAACTGCTACATTGCATAGCAGGAGTAAACAGCCTACAGTAATAATGAACTTGCCAGAAGCTGAATGATGTTGATGATTAGACAGTAACATGAAATCATATAAAATAAAAAAGTAATATGTTAGTGAATAAAATTAATATTAAGAAATTAAATGTGTAAATGAGAATGGCAAAGTAATATGAAAGAGATGAAGAAACAACATAAATGAAGTCAAGCACAGATGTATGTTTGCTCTCTTCAAGCTGCATATACAAAGATTGCTATTTAATAGCTCAAATGAGATCCTCAGATCCTTCATCCATTACCTGTGGAAAAATCAGTGTAATGCTCAGCTTATAGAGGCCGCTGCATTTGCTATATGCTATATTTTGGAACGGCGAGTTTTGATTTCTGAAACAGTATATAAAAATCAAGGAATTTGATTTCTCATGATACAGAGTAATCAGTTAGTGTCTCGTATAACACACTCTCACACATTCTTGTTTAAGTAGCTTAATTCATTCAGTTTGAACTCACCAGTGACCCATACTGGCTGTTTGTTGCTGTAGGTTGTATAATAACCTGGTTTTCCTCTCTCTGCTCTGCACACATAAACTCCTGTGTGATTTAGAGCAGCAGAACTGACAGTGTAGTTTCCTCCAGCTCCTCTGCTGCTGTCTGAGAGGAGGTTATAACGATGGCTGTAGTCTGTAAACAGTAAAAATGTGCAGTTACCTTAAGAAGCTGTTTCCACAGAAGTCTTGTAAATTACCTCTGGTATAAAACGATTTAGATTGATTCAGTATTTTTTAATCTCAATAATATTTCTGACTTGAACTTTTATATCTTACCTGATGAAACCGCGTACCAGCTGAATGTCCAGCCTGTAGAGGAGCCGTAAACCTCACAGATCAGAGTCACTGGATCTCCTTCAGTCAACCACTTCTGTGGAGAAACACTTAAAACTGCTCTGGGTTTATCTGAAATAGAGACATCGCTCATTAACCACGTGTAAACGTGTGTGTGTATATATGAAGAAAAGATGAAACTCACCTGATACTGTCAGTGTAACTGCATCACTGATGTTTGATGTTCGTGATCCTCCTCTCTCTGCTCCATAACAGAAGTATTTACCTGCGTCAGACTCAGTAACAGGACTGAATGTGTGTTCCTGTAGTTCACTGAAAACACTGTTTGAACCGTCTTTATACCAGCTGTACTGCCAGCCAGTGACTCCTTCACCATCAATGTCACATCTGAGAGTGACTGTCTCTCCTCTGAATACACGTTGATCAGGTTTAATGGTCACTTTGGCTTTTGGTCTTTCTGTGCAATGAAAACAATTTAGAATGAAAATAATCTGCTGTTTTTACTGTATGAACACAGTAACATAGTGGGAAAAAAAAAAAAAAAAAGAAAGGAAAATGGTTATTAAAATTAAATTTGATTTAAAAAATTATGCAAACTTATTTA